TAAGGTCTGTGGATTATGTTAAATAACTGGGTCATGATTTCTGGAAAGAGACATTATTGTTGAGTTTTTCAAACATATATTTTTTGGCGCTTTGAGCTCCACAAGCCAAGTGCCATCTAGTTCCATTATATTGGAGAGAAGGCAGACATCTCTACAGCCAATATCTCCAACACTCGGCAACTCACACCAAAACAATCTAGACCAGCAGTTGCCAAATGGTCCAGCCACGAGGTCCAGATTTCTCTTTAGTCATTGGTTCAAGGTCTACGCAGTTTAATATATTCAGCATCATATTTGCATTTCGCCATGTCATCAAGCTAGTTTGCTGTCTCTGTCAAGTAGCTGTCTGTTAGTCACTCACTCTACAGCAGGAAACAACACTTCAAAATAAAAGCTCTGTGCCGGGAATTCACTGTACTCTAAATTTAAGTTTGTTTTTTTTGTTTTGTTTTTTACAAACTTGACATGTTAGTGAGTCACTTGTGGTCCATTCAGAATTGACCCCTGATCCACTTTTGGACCACGACCGACTAGTTGGGAACCACTGATCTAGATGTATAAACAGCACTACAGGTACAAGGAAAAATACGTTTTTTTGAGTTTGAGGTGAACTGTCCCTTTAAAGCAGCTTGTGACAACATGTCAATGCTGTAGTTACAACTTTTCTGCTGCCCCCCATGTGGCAACAATAAAGAGTTACTGCAGGTTTAAAGCTGCATCAATTCTTTTTTTTTAGCCACTGGGGGGCAGATGAACTCTACAACAAGCTGATGACCAAGCTGGTGATGGTGAATAATTTTCTATTTATACATCCAGCTAAAACATAGCAAGTTGTGAAGTTATGGACGTGGTCAACAAGAGATAACAAATATTCACTCTCCTTTAGTTTCTTGGTTTGGTCTCCACCAACTCCTAGGAAAAATGTCTAAAGGGACAGCCCATTCCATGTTCCCAGATCTCAGGAATCACCTTAGCAAGTATACAGACAGGAATGTTGTCCAAAACTACAAAAATAAGACCAAAGTTGTAATGAACCTGGAATAAAACCTTCACCCCTGCAATGCAACATGCAGCATGCTTCAAAGCCAAATTAAGTGATCTTCGGAGTGCCATCACCTGGGACCAAAGACCACCCAGTAGCAGTTGGACGTAAAGTACCTTGTTTTCACCAGTAGATATCAGGCTTTACGCAGATTTGGTTACTCTTCAAATATTAATCACATTTGCTGTCTTAGCCTGGGTAATGTGACATTAACATAGATTTCGTCTTTGTGCATCCAGTCCAGAGATACTCATTATTTAGGATTTCTGATGATGTACTTTTTCAGTTTTGATGGAGCTAGGCTAACAATCACTCATACTGTCTCAAGATGTTACTAGATGATCTCCTGTAATAATTCAGTCACTGAGCAACTCATAAAATTTGTATGAGCATAATGTTAGAAAAACAAACTCACTAGCTGGGAGTCAATCTTATCTATTTTTGACCTGCGATAAAAACAGCCCAGTCGCCAGAAGAAAATGTTGTTATTGTACATCACATAATTAAAGTAATGTAGTATATGAGTTGATTTTGTCATCAGGACGTGGAAGGGATGGTGGATGGTTTGACACTTAGGCGAGGAGGCTGCCAAGCTGCAGACCACTGTTAAAGACCAACAAACACGCAACCAGCTGTTATTTAACAAGTTACTGCTGTGTTTCCGGTAAGTTTTTAGGCACCAAACGTAGATGTTTCGTAGCAAGCCATGGCTGCTTTTCCATCCAGTATAGTGCTGCTAAAAGCAGTTGTTTTTTACTGAGACATCTCTGCGCTTTCAACCGGGAAAGTGGCGAGAAAAACAAATTTTTTTATCACATCACTGCATTTCCAGCCAAGATAGTGCAAGGAAAAGAGGTTTTTTACAAAGACATCTGAGCTTCAAACTGGGATAGAGCAACGAAAAAGCGGTTGTTTTTACTATGACATTGTTGTGCTTCCAACTGAGATACTATCACAAAAAGGGGTTGTTTTTAATGAAACATCTCAGGGCTTCCAACTGTGATAGTCCCACAAAAATCAGTTGTTTTTTATTGTGACATTGCTGCGCTTCCAACCGATATGGTGCCACAAGGTTTTTCCCGAAACACCCCAGCGTTTTCGGATGGAATAAGTGCCACAAAAAGTGGTTGTTTTTACTATGACATTGCTCTCTTTCTGTCCGAGATACTGCCATGAAAAGCTGTTTTTTTATCAAAACATCCGCAGCTTTTCCTGCAGTGATTATGTGATGTAAATCATTTTTGAAAGCCGAAAACATATTTTTCTAAACATAAACAAGTGGTTTTTGTGCCTTAAACTAACCACTTAAACCACCGCCTTTTTGAAATGTAAAGAAATGTAAAGTTTCAACGTATCTGCTACATAATAACAAATAAATTTAACATATCCGTGGTTTGCAGAAATGTACGATGCCAACATTTTTTCTGGTGACTGGGTTGGTAAAGAAAAAAAAAGATCAGCAGGTGGAGTAAAAAGTAACAAAAAAGTCCCTGCAAATAATGTTCATTCACAGACAGAGCAGAACTATTGACTTAGAAGAGGCTTTTCTTAAGGTAAATCATTTTAGTCTCTACCTGGCGTAGCTTATCCCACCTGGTAAGTTACAATGAACATTTCCTGCCAGTTTGTATTTTCAACATGCTCCTTCGTCTTCATGCTCCTTTCAGTGCACAGTGACAAATGTCCAAATTAGGTAGTGATCCTGGGCCTTGATGAGTGGTAAGACTGTCCTGGGTCAGGGCTAGCTGTTTCCCTCTGCTTCCAGTCTTTGTGCTAAGCTAGGCTAAACTCCCAGCAGCCTTATCTCTGTCCTGGTCGCACAATGATGATGACTGGTCAATAAGATAACAAATAAGTATATTTCCTAACATGTTAGACTGCTCTGTAAAAGGGAGGCAACAAAATATGTAACACCGTTGCTGTGGGGGTTAGTTAATGATGGAAAGACATAAAACGATCCTTGATGAATGAGAGGAACCAGTCTGTCAGTGTCGGGACAGAAGCTTCAGCTGTGTGCTCTACCTCCACAACATCCCTTTATCAGCCCAGCAGTCTCATTCACTCAGCTCCCATCACTGTAGGTGTGGTGACATACTCGGCTGCTGGAAGCCTGATCAAAGACAGTCCTTAGATGACATTTGAGCCTTCCCAGCAAAAATTCACAGTTCAGTCCCTGCAGATGGCTCATGCAATGGAAACTGAATTTTGGGTCATCAGCTCTGTATGTCACAATTTAATCTTCAATTAAAAAAAGAAAAAAAAAAAGGCAAGTCGCTCATTTGCTTCGATCCATCTTTACAAAGTGCAAGTACACGAGTCACAGAGACTAAAACAAGCGTCAAAAGAAAGACTGATAGCTTCAAATAAAGCGGTTCTGAAAATAAATCCATAAAACAAACAAAAAAAAAAAACAAAACAAAACAAAAAAAATCACATAAATAAGTAAATATCTGCAGGCCTGCCTGTACAGAAAAAGGCAAACATCGACGATAACAAAATAAAAAGAACCTTTAATAACACCTACAACCCTCAACACACGCTGGAATGAGAAAAAGTACAGGTGCATGTGTGTAGAGAAAGTAAAAAGGTGATTGAAATGACTAACAGAGCTCCAGAGGATCACCGGTCCTTTCAGCAGGTAACGCTGCAGCTGTATCAGTCAGCAGCTGCAACAAGTAAGGTCCCCATTGTAAGCTGAGTGCAATATTAAAGCCACATGATCAAAAAAAGGAAGAGAGAAAAAAAAGGGAAAATGACACGACATGCACTTGGTATCACAAAAAAAGGCTGGGTTTTGTGGAAAAAAACATGAGAAGCAAAGGAAAAGCTTTAAAGATGCTGTGTAACAACTTACTGTACACACTCCTTAGCTCAGTGTAAATGCTGGGCACTAGCTTGGCTTACACCAGGCTCTTAAAACAGAAGAAGAAACCCCTCTCGTGTGGCTTCCATCACCAAACAAATCTGCAGTTTTCCTCGCTGTGAACAGCTCCAGAACATGTCAAACTTTTCCCACTGAAAAATCGCTTCGGCTGCTTTCACATTAACATGAAATCCTTCGATAAGGTAGAGCGTCACGGAGCACAATCAACACCTCTAGAGAATGCTAATCATCTCATTTGTTGGCTTAGACCAAGCTTTTTAAACAAAATGAAAAAATCCCTCTCTTGTTGCTTTCATTGCCGAACAAATGGGCATCCTCTTGTTGGTGGAAAAGCACAGGCTCTGGACTTTTCTACCGAAAATCTATGGAGAGAACCGCTTCTCTCCAGCTTTTATTTTGAAATTTTTGAAAAGGTAGAGCAGAATCTGTTCGTTGATAAACATCTGTTGCAGTTTCCTCACTGGTGTTGAATTTGTCGGAGGCCAACAAGAAGGCAAAATACAGTATTTTGCAGAATTTTGGTCAGCATCGAGCCCACAAAGACAAAAATAAAGCAAAGGGCCTGTGCTGCATGACCGGAAGGGAAGCTTTCTTCTAAAATAGCTACCATCTCTTCAGAAATAACAAATGACAAAAAAAGCTCAGCATTCCTAGCAAGTGCTAGCTAAAATCTGAAACATGAGAAATTAAAAAATAAAAATAGATCTATCTTTCAAGTCAGCTTCCTTCGGAGGTTAAAACCCTGCCGAGTAACCTCCAGCTCATCTCGGGGTCGGCTGGCTGACACCCGGCCTTCTATCTCACCCGACGGACGGGAGGCCTCGTCTCCTTCCACAGGCCCCGTTTCTGCCGGCGCTCAAAGAGCAGTTCAGCGGCCTCCATCTTCACTCGCGCAGGAAATGATGGGACGAGTGGCGCCTTAAGCCCAGACTACTCTTGACGTTTCACCTCCATCTCTCCTCCCTTTTGCCTTCATCTTCTCCCTCCAGCAGGCAGTATGCCGTCTCCTCCTCAAAACTGTTTTGGTATGGATATCTTTGTGTCTTTTTTTTCTTTCTTTTTGTGAGATTCAAGTTTCTTTTTTTTTTTTTTTCTTTTTTTTTAATTTTCATTTTTCCTAATTCAGTTTTGTCTGTCGCTGTGGCTGTTTGCCTGCTGGACAGCATTTTGTTGGAAGGACTCCAGTGAGGCTGCCTTCTTCAGGTGGACAGAGGAAGAAAAAAGCACATTCTTTGAGACAATTTTTTCAGTTTTTTCAGTAATGAATGAATCCACTGCATGGACACGAGACTTTTGAGAAGTGACGAGGGATGGACTGGTGGGATCTGCAGCACTTACTTAAATGCCGAAAATTCCCCTGAAAAGTAAAAACAAAGATACAAAGAAGATTAATGTGTAGGCACTGCTGCAGCCGCCACAGTAATGTCAACTCGTGCCAAGCTGTGGATATCTTTTCATGATGTCATCGGGGTGTGTGTGTGTGTGTGTGTGTGTGTGTGTGTGATAGCAGTGCCACTCATGCGGCAGTTAGCGTTATTGCTAATAAGACCACCATGACCTGTAGTGGCAGGACGCCTTGGCTGGTACCCAATGGTGGCCACCCTCCACTCTCCAGAACTATGTTAGCACCACAAGTCATGCTAATGCTGCTAACAGAGGTAATAACAATGCTAAAGGGGTTGGTTACAGACCGCCATCTAGCCACGATAAAATACGGGAACAAAGAGCCCACTCTCTGGTCTCTACTGGCTAGCTAGCAGCTCTGCACTGTGCCCCAGCAGGGTGGGAGATAGCTAGCGGTGCCGCTCATTCAGCGATTAACGTTACTGCTAGCAATGCCACCATGATCTATGGTGGTGGGACAGCATGGCTGGCACCCCATGGTGGCCACCCTCCACTCTCCGGAACCAACTATGTTAACAACACTAGCCATGCTAATACTGCTAACAGAGCTGTGTGTGTGTGTGTGTGTGTGTGTGTGTGTTAGAGTGCGGCACGGGCCGCATATTTCTGTCCGAACCCAACAGTTATTCTGTTTTGTTATGTCCGAAACCGAACCGAGCCCGACATTATTTAATTACTAAAGCACTGAGTTTGTGTCACACAGTGGTTACAGGCTATTTAACAGGCCGGGCGTGCGCTGTGGGTGCTCCGCGCAGAGGGAGACCTCCATGTTTGAGACAGGAGGGGGCGGCAGGAGGTCCGAGGCTTCCAGCGAGGGGAGAGGGAGAAATATAACAAAATAAGATAAAATACGAAAACTTGTCTCCCTCTTTTATTTTATTTTCAGCGTTTAATCAAGGCGGAGACGGGCAGCGGAAGGTGCGAGGCTTCCAGTGAGGGGAGAGGTAGAAACAAACAGCCAATGTGTGTGTGTGTTCTGTTCAGGTGTTGTCACGTAAATAACAGTGCCCAAGCAATAAACAGGACAGACAATAGGATTTTATTTATTTTTACACTACATTTTCACTGAAAGTTGACTGAATCCAACCCGAGCCCAAATACAATTTATACTGTACATTTTTGACCAAACTCGGCCCGACCCGTCAGGTAGGCCTACCTTCGGGACCCGTTGGGCTCGGATCGGGTAGCCACACTCTAGTGTGTGTATATGTGTCCCCTATTGGGGCCTATCTGAATTTCTGTCTTTGAGAGATATTATTTTGTAATATAACTGAATTTTCTATCCATACATATAAATTTTAAATATATTAAAATTATAAGGCATCTTTGAGTAAACTGCGAGTATCATTTAAGTAGGCTATCTCGTGGCCAGGCCGAGTGTCCTCTTTTTTGGAAATCAAAATATGGTCATCCTAGTATATGTTTCTGCAGCAACGCCGTTATGCCACCATGGGTCAGGATGGCGTTACCACTAATAACGTCAATCACTGAATGAGCTAGCTAGCTCCCACCAGGCCTGGGCGATGCACAATAGAGAGCAATGGTGGCTAGCTAACCAGCATAGCATGAATACCTTATTAGCTTTGCTGTGGTAACTTAGAGCATAGTACTAGTACTACTGAACTGAAGAGTAAAATTAACTTATAGTCTGACACGTGTAACGAGACAAAAATGTTATCTGCATTTGCTGATAAATGACTAAGCGTTGACATCCCTAACAGCAATACAGATCTTATGTGGAGTTGTTCTCGTGGAAAACATGGTGAGCCTTTTTTTGCTTCCCGTGTGTTATTATTCAGAGGTGACGCTATCTGGTCAAAAACAGGATTTCAGGATCTAAAGCATCTTTCTGAGAGGATTACCAAATATGACATCAGTAGGACAGCACAGCACAACTGGGGTTCCTTCTAGGATGCAGCTTTACTATTTGTGGTTAGTATCTGGGCATCCGATTTTGCTTAGGGATCTTTACACCTAATCTAATTGCTTACATTCTTACTTTATTTTTTTCAATAACTATTTATTTAAATGGAGTCTGGTGGGACTGGGTCTAGTTAAACAAAACAAGAATGTCTGCCTCTGTGGGGATCCTTTCTATAATTTTGTCAGATACATGAAAAAATTATCTGAGCCTGTCAGTGGCAAAATCAAGCACCAGCATGTGTGTGTGTGTGTGTGTGTGTGTGTGTGTGTTTTTTTACTTGAACCATGTATCATGAGTTTTACCCTTTCAGTGTACAAACACATTTGAGAACTGAGACCATGTTGACAATCCTTCCTCCCTCAGTAATGTAGTGATGTAGAAAGGTGCTAACAACCACTGTTGAGACTCATAAACATCAGTCTCAGCAGCAGCTGTTGGGACCTCTCCTGTGTACATGTGTATAAGCTCTCATGTGTATGTGCGCATGAGCTCACCATAGCCCCCGGCCTGGATGGGGGTTTTGGGTGAGGCGCAGGCGTACAAGCTGAAGTCCTCCGTCTGAAAGCCGGCTCGGTTTAGCGAAGGCTCTGAGGCGCTGCGGTGGATTTTGGGTAATGAGCGAGCAAGCAGCTCGATGGACGCCAAGATCTGACAGAATACACACAGCACAGCCGCAGGGTCATCAGTCACAATCAGTTTGATCACCATTGACAACTAATCAAAACCATTAACGATGGCGTGTGCTGCATTTGGAGAATGTACAGAACTGAGTCATTGCTTGAGTTCAGCTGCTTTCTCTCATCCTATGAACCTCTGAGGCCATCTGGTGGCAAAGCTAATCAGTTCCTCCTTGATTTAAATCTGTCAGGTTTTGGGACAGAGGAAAAGTTATTAAAAGAAAAGAAATCCAACTTTTTCAGGCATGTGACAGGCCAGGACAAAAAAAAAAAAAAAAAAAAAAAAAGTGGGAAACTCAATGCACTTTGAGAAACACTATCCAAAAACAAATTGTGTTATTTGTCCCCTGTCATAAATTTGGCAAAATTATTCAAGTACTATTCAACAGGGGTGGGGGAAATAATAGATACAACATATTATTACAATATTTTTGTGTGGCAATATTGTATCAATATCAATATTTTATTATATAAATTAGTAATATTACAAGTACGAATTAAACTTTTGGTGGCCGACTAGAATCATAAAATCAATTACTTTTTCAGTTCACTAGATAAATTTTGCTGCAATAAAAATCATCAAAGTGAGATGGACAGAATTTTTCCTTTTGGGACACAGTTTACAGCTGAAAAAAGTTAATAAATCACAATATATTGCAATATAATTTATCCCAATGCTCAGCATATCGCAACTTTTTTTAATATTGCATGAAATGATGCACTGGCACTAAACCCAAACAAAGAGACCAATAGAAGCTCGCCATGGAGGCAAAACACACTAAAAGAAACTAAAAGCAAAGAGTGGGATTCCAGCAAAGAGGAAAACCTTGTGGAGTTGTGTCAGCAGAAGCCTTGCCTGTATGATGTGTCCTCTAGCTCTTACCATGATCACGTAAAGAAGGACAAAACACAGAAGGAAAATGTGGGAGGGTTGCAGCTGCCAGGTGAGCAACCTAGCAGCTACAGTATATAGTGGCCACAAAACTTAAGGTTATTTAATAATGTGACCCTCTATGTTGTGCTTCACAGTTGGAGAAGTAATAACCCATGCGGCATCCTTGTGCACTCAGTATGGGAAGCTGTCATCGTACAGCTAGGCTGTGTCATCTGCATACATCAAACTTGATGTCAAACCCAAGTTTATTAGATCCATGTCGCACAGTGTAGCTGCACTAAACTTAGAAGATTTCTAAAATCTCACAGCCTAAAGGAGGCTTTAGTCTCACCTGAGGGAAGAGAGGCCGCTCCTCTCTCTTCTTCTTCAGGCAGTCGGCCATCAGTCTCTTCATGGCCTTTGGACAGTTGCTGCGCACCTTGCTGAGGTCAGGAGACAGGTAACCTCGACCTACCATAAATATGATCTGTGGGAACAGAAAATAGGAGTCGTTAGTATTTGTTTGCAGGGATAATCACTCTGTAGATGTGTAGCTTCCAATAAGCTTAAGTGTTGATGTTAGGGAATGTGACTGAACAGTGTTACTGTTATACTTTTACACTGTTTGCTGTGCTAATTTTATTATTGTAAAAAGCTATTATAAATTGATTAATTAAACTGAATTAAAACTAATTAGATTAATCTAAAGTAAATTAAGTGCATTTAAAGGAATACAATTTGTACAGAAGAACAAGGTTAAATCAAAAATCTTGCTTGCCGGGTTCGGTTCGGGTTCGGCCCACTTCACATGCTGCTGTGTTGTGCTATGGCCTATTCTAGAGCTGGAATTTGTTTTTTTACGTAACAACACCTGAACGCAACACACAGCAGTATGCTTGACTGTGTATAACAGCAGTCTTTTGATGGTCATTTACACACTGTCCATAACAATAAGTATGTCAGGTAACAAACTGGGTCGTGCACATTGGGGTGGAACTCCGCTGTGAGAGCCGAGACAGAAATGACATGCCGTGGTGTAAATGAGACAAATAACATAATGCTATTTAGTTTGTTTAATAAAAGGACAAGATATAGACCTGTTCTATAGGAAAGGTAACCTTAATATTATTTTCTATATAGCACCAGATCACAACAGAAGTCATTTAACTTGACCTTCAAGGGGGGTTGGGGGGCCACTGGGGGGGTGGGCCATCCCCCTAATATAATGGTAGGGGAAACAATGTTGTTTACTAACAGTAAAATGGGTCTATTGTTTATGCTTTTATATTGGGTTAGGTAATACTGAGTATGATAGAAACATAGATTGTGTAAAACAGGGTTCCTACACATTTGGAATTTCAAAATTCCATACTTTTCCATACCCTAATTTCCAGACTTCTCTGCGTTTTGTTTTGTTTTGTTTTTTTCCCCTCAGAGAATATGCAACATCTGAGTAAATATATCAGTGTATCATATTTCACATCATATTTAATTATTCTTAATAGGCAATTGTAGCCAAGTACCATAATGGCATGCAAATAAAAACTCAGGTAAGTTCAATGTCTGGGCTGAGGCAAAAAGGTTGGGACTCTGGGTGCAAGCGATGCAGTAACGAGACGTCAGTGTTTGTTCCTTTCATGTGGCTCAGAATCGCCTTCTCCCCCATGTTGGCGATGTCAAACGATTTCACACAAAGCTTGCATCTAGCTCTGTGTGTGAATTGGGAATCCTTGGCCAACCAGTATTTATATACGGTATTGTCAAGCCATCCATCCAAAAACTTGCATCTACCCATTGCGAACCACGTGAAACTCGTCTTCTTGTCGAAGGTGCAGTGTTGGAGTGAAACTTGATACCTGGGGGGCTGGAGGAGGGTCATGGGGCAGCGGACTGGCCATACCACTTGTCAATCAGGTAAAAGGGGCAGTATGTTTTCTGAGACGTTTGCTCTCACACAAACTGTGCTTGGCCCGGCATAAAACACGATCCTGATTGATTAAATTATTTTTGGAAATACCTAATTTCCTATTTTAGAAAACAGTATTTTAGAACAGTGATAATAGTCTGGAAACATAAATATTTTTCCATACTTCATTTTCCATACTTTTTAATACCTGGAAATTGTTCAAATTTATTTCCATACTTTTCCCTACTTTCCATACTTGCGTAGGATAATGAATGAAGCCACCGTGATGTCACCAATTCATATGTGGACTGTTTTAAAGCCTGGAGTTCGCCATTTTGGCCGTCGCCATCTAGGATTTTTGGAGCCAGAAGTTATGAGAGGGTGGAGCTGATTCTAATGCTAGCTTTTAGCTCAGTTAGCACATTGCATTTACAACTATGGTTGACTGTGCTAATGCTAATTTTTGCTAGCAAAAAACAGACATGCCTAAAACCATTCAAAAAAAAAAAAAAAAAAAAAAAGTACTTACTGGAAAAACAGAAATTCCAACTCCTTAGAAGGTCTTTCAGTACAACCAAATAATAAACAACTTTTAGGCAACAAAATTGTTACAATTAACTTTCATGCAATATATTGAACACGTGTAGCAGAGTAAGCTGTGTTTACGAAGCATCTGTGTCAGTGTGATTCACTGAGTCCTCTCACCTGGTCTCTGTTGTTAATGTTGGAGTAGGGCAGTGCTCCTGACATGAGCTCGTACAGCACGATGCCAAACGCGTAGACGTCCGACTGAAAGCTGTAGGGATTCTTGTCCTGCAGCCGGATCACCTCTGGAGCCTGACAGAGCACAGGTTACACTGACTGTCACATGACATCCAGCTCACACCTACTTTTAAATCATTTCATAATAATGAACCAAGAGAAGGAATGTAAAGCTAGTAAAATGAAAACTATGTGAACTGATGTAGGAGAGAAACACTGACCATCCACAGTATAGAGCCAGACAGCTGTTCAAACTGGTGGGAGCCACTCCAGCGGGACTTGACTGTAGCCAGACCAAAGTCCCCAATTTTCACTGTCAGATCCTCGTGGAGGAAAATATCTGGAGGAGACAAGGTCAAGGAAACACTTCTTCTACATCATAGCTCTTTAACATGAAAGGAATTGTGCTTATATTGTCATCCTTCCTTGTCTGTTAGCAAGTTAAATCCAAACATCATCAACAGATGTAAATTTCATGTGAAGGACAGAAAGACCTCAAGATGAACTGATTGAGTGACATGATTCAAAAGGATACTGTTGCTCTTCAGATCTCTGTGGATGATTGATTTGGCGTGCAGGTAACTGAGGAGGAAAAGAGAAAGTTTTTAGACCAACTGCACGCATTGTGCGAATGCTGTTGCATTTGCTGAGGAACTCACTCCATGCCCTGAGCGGTCTGCCGGGCGATGTCGATCAGCTTGATCATCTCAAACTTGGTCTCGATGATGTGCAGGTGGTGGTACAGACTGGAGCCTTCACACCACTGGGTCACGATGGCCAGCTGAGGCTTGGTGGTGTAGCCCATGAACAGCAGGATGTTCACATGACGCGTTTTCCTGAGTGTAAACACACACAGCAGGTTGATGAAAAGGTTGTTTGGTATTGTTAAAAGGTAATACTTCAGTGATATGATGTTAATTTGTCATGCATTATAAAGTGCAAAAAGTCCCCTAATTCAAGGATAGATGGCAGAAGTTACCTGAGGACTCCCACTTCATTCTTGAAGGCCTGAAGCTGCTGTGGTGTGGGAGCAGTGACATTCAACATCTTCACCGCCACGTCCCCTGAAAGGAGACGGAGGACATTTCAGTCAAAAAAATATGCAAAAGTTGGTTATAAGAAAATGTTGTACAAACACAGCTGCACAATTTCCCCAGCCCTCCACAGTGGGCTCCAAAGGGCTTTGTTACAAACCCTTTTTACACAGAGATGGTGCTGTAGGGCCGCTACAAAGTCCCTTCTTTATACTTCCTTTGGATTTTTACACAGAACCAAATGACAACGGCATTGTCATTATACACTGCATCTCAGCTTCGCAGAATCAAAAGAGGCGTGACCGGCATTACATGTAACACAACTATTGAAAGCTACATCCCAGCAAGCAGTTTTTGGTTTAAAAAACGTCTAATAGCTGTCTACATGAAGACCTGACGTCTAGGCTAAATCACGGCTGAATTTGGGCTGTCAGTGAAAATTTGGTAGACGTCTAACCATAGCCAAAGTGTAGACGTCATCAATTATACAGCTATGTAGAGACCATATCCAAAAAATGGAGATAAACATATTTTAATTACTGTTGACTCTCCATACGTGATTGAATATCATACCGCACGCCATCTGCAATGGCGAAAATTACATTTAATCAATTTCAAAATTAAATCGGCTAGATTTGGGTTACATGTAGCTAGACTAAATCGGAGCTAAATATAGCCAATACGTTTAAATCACGACTATTGCTTGCTGGGATGGCTCTATATGTCTAATTTAATGTTTGTATTCAAAAGTCAAATTTGTTCATCTTAACAGCTAAAAATATAACATCTAAACAGGTCAAATGTGCCTTAAGATGACAGAAAATGCCCTGTTTAGTGCTTTCTGTGTGCAACCATTTCACCAGTTTCTGGGGTAAGTCATCTATTCTGAGTGTGTTACAACAACAAACAAAAAAGTATTGAAAAGGCACCTAAATTTCGGTATACTGTGCATCATTAGTATTTGGAGCTGAGTCAAATTAAAGAGTGTGGATTTATGGTATCAAAGGAACATGTCACCCAGTGTGTCGGTATGGTTCACTGAACTGCTTGAGTTCTTTGTATGAACAGTGTGTTGATACCCAGACGATTCCTGGCTTGAAGCTAGTAGTCTGATAACACAGTATAGCACTGGTCTTACCATGCCACTTTCCCTTGAAGACAGTTCCAAAGGATCCAGAGCCTATCCTCTGACCCAGAGTGATCTGACCCTCAGGGATTTCCCAGTCGTCACTGGAGTCCCTTCTCCCCAGGGTTTTCTGTTCCACAGGACACTCAGTCAGCACAAGCACATCGAATATGGACATCCAACTCCAGAAAAATACCAACATCTGTGTCAATGTCTCACCATCTTATTGCGGTCCTCAGACGAGGACGACGACTTGCGCTCCCTCTGCGGGCACGGCGATTTCTGTGGAACCTTGACATTGGTCAGAGAGCCAGGTAAAGAGGCGGGAGGCGTGGCCGACAGCCCTGTGGTGGAGCCTGGAGGGGGGTCAGGGATGAAAAGAAGGGAAACAATAAAAGAAGAGAGGTGAGGTGGGAAGCTAAAAAAAGGGTGAGACAAAGAGTAAAGAAAGAGGAGGTTTGGGCGAGGACAGGGATTGAGGCGTCTGTATCAGTTGTGTGTGTGTGTGTGTGTGTGTGTGTGTGTGTGTGTTTGTTTGGTCACATGCAGAGAAGAGGTGACGGGGTGCTCTGTTGGATGGCAGTTTTAATCATTTAAAACTTCATAAAGTCCATCACTGTTATTAACTACCTCTGTCAGCATCACAAAGGATTTGATGTTTGTTTGTTTGTTTTTTCATCAGAAAGGAGCCTGATTTTAAACAGTGTCAGTTTATAGATGGTTATACAATGACTACATATATTTACTGAATCACATTTTTGTTTAGAAATATTGCAAGCCCAAGCTGACAGAAAACAAGAAATATGCAATTCTTTTGTGTGAACTTACCCTTTAAATACTGGAAGTCATGTTGATCATGTTCTCTTTTACATCAAAAAGCCATCTAAACAAATGTGTGTGTTTTCATTTGATGTGATGTGATGAAAGCCCTGGAGTCAGAAGTGATGTCATTTAACTGGTAACAATTATTGATTCATTATTCACTACAGTTACTTGATCAAAGGAGCATTTCAGCAATCAAACCACCATCCATAGAAAGAGTGTCTGATCAGACTAGTGGTGAGATTTCTGTGTAACCTGTGAGCTGTCAGGTTTGTGTGGAGAGAGAGCATGTGAGGACATAAAAGGAAAGAGAGAGAGAGTGGGGGACACACAGTGGATGGGACACAGGGCTGGGGTTGGTGTGTAGGGAGTGGTGGGGTGGAGAGGGTGGAGGACACAGGAACACACAGAGGCCTAACTACCTCGGAAAACAGGCTCGGGCTCAAAATCAAACACTATGTCATTGGGGTAGGAGTATAGGAGGGGGCTTGAGGTCCGTGTTCGGTGCTTCCTCAAGCAGCGGGCGGGGTGGGTCGGGGGGGCTGCAGGGCAAAGAGAAACAGACAGACCATCACTGCTACTCACCCTGCCCCTCTCACCTCTAACTACCTACAACTGAGCTTCTGGATGGAGAGTTCTCCTACCATATTACATGTGTTCCTCAGGGTATAAGCAGGTTTCACACTGCTACTTTTTACTCTAAGATACAGGTTGTAAATCTTGTTGTAAACATTATGGGAAATTCTCTTATGTGCTATCTTTCCTGAAGTGAGATGAGAAGATGTATATCAGTTTGACTGTCTCTATCTGTCTGTTTAAGATTCTGTATGTGACACTCAGAGCGTTACTACAGCAGCAAACCACTATTTGCTATGTAAAGTTATAGTGGAGTAATGGAGTCATGTGCAGAGAATGAAGTCACGCTCGCTCTGTGGTATTATAATCTGAGCTTCTCTGTGGTTCGTTGTGGTCCACACATGCATACTAGTTCACGTGTGTATCCCACTAGCTCCTCTGTAGCTTATGGCCGCAACTTTGCACTGCTCTCATACGGCGATTACTGCTGATATTGGAATGACGTCATCGTGGAAGCTTACCACCCACCGTTAGCTCTATCAGTGCTGTTGTAGTTCTGTAGTGCTATTTATGGAGTTCGCACCGTTAGCTGCTAGCTGCCAGCTCCACCTCCTCCATGTTGAGAACTGTATGCAGACAACTCATGCTCTGAATTTTGCTCAGAGCCCATTTAAGAAATGAGTTGGAGTCAGGATGTTAGCTTAGCTTAGCATAAAGAATGGAAGCAGGAGGAAACAGCTAGCCCACCTCTGTATGAAGATCAAACACACAGACTAGCGTCTCTAAAGCTAACCAATTAACACCCTAATGATTTGTGTGAAATTGTATCATAATTAGTGTATGAATTCTTGAGTTATGGCAAACATACATTTTGGGACTACCACATTTTAATCAGTTTATCCTTGAGTCAAAGTAGACGTTTGTGCCAAATTTGGAAAAAGAAAAAAAATCCCTCAAGGCGTTCTTGAGATATTACGTTCGCAAGATTGAGACAGGTGCAAGGTCACAGTGACCTTGACCTTTAACCACCAAAATGTAATCAGCTCATTGCTGAGTCCAAGTGGCCATTCGTGCCAAATTTGAGGAAATTCCCCTAAGGTGTCCCTCAAGGTGAAATTCCCTCAAGGACCTGGAAGACTGGATGGATGAAACCTAAAAACGTAGTGCCTCCAGCCACAGCTATCGCTGGCACAGAGACATAAAAATATTGAAATATAGCAAGTGGCCTACTCATCCATCTTTTAAGTGGTTACGTCTCTAGTCTGATCTCAAGCACACAGCTGATATTTACATGGTAAAATCACTGGTTTAAAACTAAAAAGTGGTTACTATGAATGAAGTGAGAATCTGATATTTTTAAAATTGTTGGATTTATGACAGAACTATGGATTGTGGACAATTGGGTCCCAGTTTAGGAATTTGACTGCAAAAGTGCAGTGGCACTGTCAAACACACTGTACATATTCCAATGAAAATCAAGAACCTTCATTAAAAAAAGTATTCAGACCTGTCTGTTTCTTAGCAGGATATCTTATGAACTTGTTACCAGACTACTGGTAAAAGCTAGGACATGTTTTCACAGGTAAAAAAACCTTGAAACAATTCCTTAATATTGTGAGATGAGGAATGCTACTTGAATAAAAAAAAAATCTGTATGCCATGGCTGTCTACTATTTTGTGTTTTTATGTGGATTCAGATGGAAACAATTCTATGCTCTTTTAAATGATCAAATAACACATTTTGAGGATTTTGCAGCAGGACCTCCCTCTAAGTCTTTTAAGTACCAACTAAAACCCTATTTCTGACAACAATTAGTTCTCTTATCAAAAGCATGTGTTTAGCTTTACATCATGAAAACTCCAACAGGCCCCTGATTTACTGACGATTTTATTTTCCTCTCCTCTTTTGTGATGAGGAGGAGCTAGGCCTGACAGAAGTCAGACTGAAAAAGAAAACGAGGTCTGATGAAGTGGAGGTTAACCCTGACTCACAGATGTGAATAAACATGTGTGTCCTCAGCTAACTGCTCTCAGTGACTGGTAGGGTGCAGGACTAAACAAAACCGACTCAACTTCTTGGGTCTGAACTTCACACACACACAAAAGACCAAGAGCACGCAGACGCGGGATGGTGGGAAAAAAGCCACAGATTGAGCCACAAGTCTGCTACTTTGATGCTTACCTCCATCTGACCTTGGCAAGCCCTGATCTCGAATCAGGTCCTGAATAGAAGAAGGAAGGGAAATGAGTCATAAAGACTTTTCACACGTATAATTTACTGTTCTGCACTGTATTGTACAATTTACTGTAGCCACATTATTAGGAACTACTGTCACAGAAAGTGTAGTAGCTGGAGGTGCATCCATGTTTTCAGAACCAATACTAATAATTATGTTCATATTATTCTCAGTATCAAACGAATACATTTTTTTGTCGCAGTAACGTTATTCAAAAGTAGCAACTTTTTGGGTGAGAAAAATGTTCAGCTCAGTCCTGTTTCTACCACTCGTCTTAGAGTGCCCCTTTGCCCCTTGGAAAAGAGTTCTTAACTAACAATACATATGTATTTCTTTCGTTGCTTGTTCAGCCATTTTGCCGATGATGTCTTATAATATGCCTCTAAAAAACCTCTGTTTGTTGGACCATGTAGCATGTACACTTCACCCTCTATCCCAACAAGAATCTAGACATCCTACCCCTAGACCTGAATGTGCTAAACAGAGTGGTGAGGGTTAGGTGTTAGGGGTCAGGGGTGTATTGGGATTCAGCCTTAGTGTAGACCACATGCTGGTTTTTACAGGTTGCACTTAGAGAGAATGGGTGGAGCAGGGCCTGGCCATATTTTGAGAATTATTCTTTTGTTTTTGTCCTAATTCCCATTCATTATTAGCATAGTTAGCCTGCATTAGCTCTGAGGGCTCACTTGGCGTCTTTACTATATTACATGAATGTCGCTGTCACCCTGAGCGCCCTACAAAACGATGTAAAAACTCTCAAACTCTATATGAAAGGAAAGACAAATAGTCAAATATTCGTATTTAACAGCTCAGTCTGATTCCACTGACATAATTCTGTCTTTTTTCATAGTTAATAGTTAAGAAGCACACATCAATCAGAGTCTGTCAAGTAACGTGGGGAATACTCACATCGATGTTGACAGGCTCGATGGTATTGATATGGACGTTGGGAGCGGAGGACGAACGGTCCCGCTGGCCAAACTGGTTGCGGTGGTCCTCCTCATTGGGCCGGAAACTGGGCGGGATGGGTATGGACTTGGACGGGGACACAGTGGTGTGGCATATAGACCTGGACATGAATTTTGTAAGTAAAAAGTATTATAAAGAGACTTTTTTACTTCTTGCAGGAGACATTTCTGCTCATTTGTGATAAAACATTGAAAAACACTGGAGAAACACAATAAGAGGAGAATGACTCCTACTCTTGTTGCCACTGAGGAGTGTAAAGATGGAGGACTCACCCGGTGGAGTCAGATGGGGGGAGTGATGGACAGGCCTCAGACACGGGGGTGGTTCCCTCTGAGGAGACCTCCTCCTGGGTAAACGGGTGATGCTCGAAGAACTTGGACACTAGCAACAAGCTGCAGAACACACATCATCAAGATGACACATTTAATATTAAGTCATTCTCCACACAGCCTGAATCAGGGCTGGAGCCTTACAAGCCAAGAAGTGAATTAGGAGAAACTATATGGACAAAAACAAACAAACAAATAAAGCCATGAGACAAACAGCAGTACAGCAGAGTCTGGAGTGTGGCTTTAAAGAGCATTTAACTGATTTACAACAAGACATAACATTGTCGGACTCACAATTTAGTCAGGTTAAAAAATAAATGCTGCAGAACTAGAAATATTATCTCTTTGATTCAACACGTTATTCCTCGTTCTCAAAACCTGCTGCCTACATGACCCACAACGTAACTCAACAGTTCAGTCAGATACACGGGTGTGTTATGCTAGAAATGGCTAATGTAGTCTGGAGCCTCAAGCAGAGGAGAAAAGCGGGCTACAGAGGTTTGGTAAGCTAACTAAGTTTTTCTTACTAGGGCTGTGATGGTATGTTTTTTTTTTTTTAATTGTACTTTGCCCCCTACGGATAGAGACAGTGGCATCAGAGCCAAGAGAAGCACATTTTTCATTAGAATTATTAAATATTATAATTTAATTATAATAAAATACAACAAAAAAAAACTAAAATTACCGCCCCGCAGTTGTATACCTTTGCACACCTGTCAAATGTCTCTTACATTTAACATCCATGTCTGTGAAAACATGGATGTTTCACTGCCGTTGTCCCCCCAACAGCACTAAAGATCTACAATGGGCACAGTTTCAAGATAGGAACCAAAGATAAGTGTCACCAATTGGGTATCTGACTAAACGTCTCCTCTTCAGTACAAGTTAACATTTGTGTCAAGTTTGAGGAAATTCTCTCTAAGTGCTCTTGAGATACTGCGTTCTGAAGAATGTGATGGATGCAACGTCATGACAACCTTGACCTCTGACCTATAGCCACCAAAATCTAATTAATTCATCATTAAGTCCAAGTGAACATTTATGCTGAGTTTGAAGAACTTCCCTCAAGCTGTTCTTGAAATATCGCATTCACGAGAATGTGATGGATGCAAGGTAATGGCGACTGTGACCTTTGACCACCAAAATCTGTTCAGTTCATCCCCGAGTCCAAGTGGACATCTGTGCCAAAGTTGAAGAAATTCCTTCACGGTGTTCTTGAGATATCATATTCACAACAGTGAGACACAAAATATCACAGTGACATTGACCTTTGACCTATTACCATCAAAAACTAATCATTTAATTCTTGAGTCCAAGTGGACATTTGTTCCAAATTTTAAGAACTTCCCTTGAGATATTGTGTTCACAAGCATGGGACGAACCTATGTACAAAACACACTTTGATGTGTAAAATTGGTGGAGCTTCCCTTTAAAAATAAAGCGCTGTTGTGGATAAATGAGTTAACAAGAATTCAGTGTGAAGATACATATCTAAAGCCCTGTTTGAGAACACAGTGGATGAGACATTCCCACAAGGCTTCTACTACTGAAAGTCCAACATGGAACCGACAGACAGACAGGTGATGTGTCTTGTTTTGTCTGCCAAAAAACTTTGAGGCATCATCATCCAGTAACAGATGCAGGGTGAATACACTTCAGTCTCACCAGCAAATAGATGCATCCACTGGAACATACAGAGATGCTCCTGCAGAGTAGCTTTTGGATCAAGCTCACATGGTTTAATATATCAGCCTATTGTAGTCACCTCATTTTAAGCACTGCTATAAAAACCCACATCCCCTGTGTGTGACTTACTCTAGTTGGTCGTAGTTGACACACATGAGAGGAACCTCGGTGCTGCAGCGCTGGTGGAACTTGTAGCCACAGGTCTGGCAGCGGAAACCCTGGAACAGCAGCTTTCTGCAGAAGTCACAGAAGGCCAGAGTGAAGAAGGTCTTCCTCACCTGTCAAACACAAACACACAATCAAGACCATGTGAGGCTGAGAGGTACAATCAGTACATCATGTTTACTGTCGTTGGAGTTATGGTATGTGATTTTGTCTATAGTACTTACAAAGTTGTGTGTGGTGAGTGGAACATTCTCCAACACTTCTACATGTAACTCCTCTCCTGTCAGCCAGGAGATGTCTGTGTCCCACCCAATCGGTTTCTTCTCTCTGAAACAAGGAGTGGAGAGTTAGAGTAGAGGGCTGCACCTCACACTGCTGGAGTTTTAACAATCATGTCGCAAACGTAACAGCACAATCCAATCCCAGCCCATTTATTTAACACCTCCATCTAACCAGTAGGGATGGGGGAAAAATAAAATCGATTTAAGTATTGCGATATTTTGTGTGGCAATACTGCATCAGTACATGGATAACCAAGTATCGACCTTTCATTATACACATTATTAATTTTTGCAAATATTTTAGTACAACTTTTGGAACTAGAATAATAAAATCAATCGCTTTTTCGGTCCACTAGAATGTGCTGTTGTTTTTTTTTCCTGGTGAGGACAGCAGAGGTCTCAGTCTGCGGCATTTGGCAGAAGTTCTTCAAAACAAAGATGGAGGCATCAGAGAAAGAAATCAGAAATGCGCCATCGGCATGTAAATCAAATGTAAACCCGCTCCGCCAAAGAATCAACAACACTGGACACACTTAGCTTGACAAGGCTACCATCCAACTCTGAGAGAGCGAAGAAAGTAACACAGTCCATCACCTACTTCATGTGCAACAATCTACATCTGGGTTGTTAAAAATGAAGACCTTTGTTACATGCTAAAAACAATGGAACCCAGGTATTGGACTCAGTCCCGACATTTTTACACCAACACAGCCGTACCCAAGCTCTACAGAGGAGTCAGAGTTTCACTCACACACTTAATTTGGCCTTGCAGAGGGCATTCAATTTGCCAACAGTTCAGTTTGTCAGGTGTATGCAGTTTTTCTGACAGGTTTTATGACGGTACTGATTAATCAGCCTTTGGGGAAATAAGCTGCAGTGGGGGAAAAAAGGTAATAAATCGTAATATATTTTATTGCAATACTTTGTCTGTCGCAATGTTGCAATAATACTGTATCGCGGGTCCTCTGGCGATTCCCATCCCTAGTGTATGGATGACTGCAGTACACTATGTTAGTGACAGACTTACCCATCTTGTATCCTGTACACTGCACAGCACTCTGGAATGAGGCCTCGCATCATCAGAGCTTTCTTCAGCGAGTCTCTCACAGTCATCCCACAGCGGGCCGGGACCTGGACACAACACAACAGGACTCACTCAACTGACATGATGAAGCAGAGTAGGTCAACATAAAAAGAAAATGAGCTGAAGCAACCACACTAAGTTTGGATAATTAAATGTTCTACTGTACAGTTGGAGTGAGTATGTTCCTTGTAGCCACTGGTCTTATTGAACAGGTGTGCTGGTGGCAGCTTGCCCCTGTGAAGCTGACCAAAGTGAATCTACCTACATTCGCTTATTTAATTTTCTTATTACATCCTCAGAGAGGACATGGGACGTACCACTGTTCTCTGTTTGTTGGGCAGGAAGACCCTGACGATGGGCTTCTGGGGGGAGCGAGGGTTGGCTCGGCTGGCGTCAGTAGGGGTCTGCAGGACAGCCAAGGTGTTGGGGGCAGATGGAAAGGCCTGGGCCCCACCCCCAACCCCACAACCTCCCATCTTGACCTCCAGAAGGGCTGGCACAGGAGAAGGAGAGCAGGAGAAGTCTGTACCGTTGCCCATGGCCTCCAGCAGCTGCTGCTCCCTCTGCTGCAGGGCGTCCAGTTTACTGGTGTACTCCTCATAGGCCTGACAGAGACAACACACCAGAGAGCATTGACCCAATAGCTCCCATACCCAAAGTGACACTCACAAGATTTATGTTTCTGCAACTGTATTCATTAAAGCCAAGTCTATCTTACCTCTAGATATATGGAAGGAGGATTGTGTTCTCCTCCAAACTTGTCCAGAAGGGCCTCTAAGTGTTCTTGTGTCAACTTAATCATCTGTTTGATATTCCAGATCTGTGGGGAAACACAGCAAACAATGTTAACAGAGTGATATCCTTAAGTACATTAACAACAACCACAGTCTCAAGGCTTATAAATTCTATTTGCCTGACTAAGGTGTGTGTGAGGTGTCACAGGAGATCACAGGAGGGGGAGCTGAGCTGTAACTGCGAGTTTACCACTGTTGGCTGTGTGAGCACAGTGTTGTTTTATAGACCATGCTGGCTGTGGGTTTGAACCAAGCTGTTTGATAAAAATATTTGTTCATAGTGAAAATAATATCTCGATATTTTTGTGTGGCACTATCGTATCGTCACACAGTGCGAAGCATTGACTTTTTCATTATATAAATTATTAATATGACAAATACAAATTAAATGTTAGGTAGCCTACTAGAATAATAAAATTAATTGTTTTTCGGTCCTCTAGATACTTTTTGCTGCTGCAAAAAATGTCTGACGTGAGATGAACAGACTCAAACTTATTATATATCTCATTAAATAAAACAGGTGTTGACCAAGTTTTCCTTTGGGACATAATTTACAGTTGGAAAAAGGTAATATAGCCTAATGTATTTTATCACAATATGTTTAAAATCGCAGTAATATTGTATTGTGACTTAAGTATCATGATAATATTGTATTGTGTATCCTCGGTTGATTTCCATCCCTAATATGAAGCCTCCCTCTTTTGTGATCCACTGCCATCTGCCCTGTAAATTTTATTGTTACTGCATTATATTATTAATACCATTGATGGATAAAGACGCCTGGATACAGTGTCGGAGGTGGGATCCCGTTTATTCCTATGAAAGTTGCTCAGTGAGACATGACGCCAAAATGGTTCAACTGCTCTGTATGAAATTACCCAGAAATTACCCCTGCTTCCACATAGCGATGCCCATATAGCAGGTGCACTTGTCACTTGCGGCAGCCAAACAGCTGAGCATCTTAGTTCTGCCAGTTGAACAGCTAACTTTCAGTTTGAATGGGGATAAAATGATTTAATCTTGCAGCTCTTCTAGACTTTCTAAATGTTATAAATCTAAATAAGTCAAATCTGAGAGTGAAATGATTAATTTTGTTGGGGTTGTGATGCTCAAGCAAATTTATCTGCTGGTTTACAGATGTCTCTTTCCTGATATAAGTCAATGGGAGTAAGTATTTTTGGGTCGCAGAGCATCACTTTGGCCGATACGAAAATTGGCTTCAAAGCCTGGCTCACTTCCAGGGGGCCTGGTCTCCACTGGTGTCTTTGCCCCTTCTGCAGTGCGCACTAAAGGGAGCTAACATTAGCCAGCCAGTGGCGCTGCTCATTCAGCAATTACACCTGTTAATGCTGTTTTGGTGGCAGAATGCTTTGCTGCAGAACCATTGTGCCCACCCTCCAGTCTCTCCCTAAACTTGTAACAGTGGTAACGGAACTAACAGTGATAACATAGACAATGCTAATGGGGATTTACAGCTCTGAATGAAGCATCTTACTTGCCAGGGTGAACTGGGGAGAGACCAGAGGGTGAGCGCAATGTTTCCACAGCAATGATGTTGGTTTGGAGCAGTGATGGTCGAATTAAACACTACCTAGCTCCAACCAGCGCAGTAAACTGAGGAGTAGCAAAACTGACCAATAGAGTGACATGTGTCACCGGTCCTGAGAGCCTGGTTAATCACATATTCTAATAATAACTAGAGACCCGATTCCAAGATGGCGCCTATTTATTCTAATGGAGTTACTTGCCTGGAGCATACACCAAATTTTTCCTAGCTTCTGGGTTTACTTCCGTGGATTGCAGCCCGCTGAATATGCGCAGCAGTCTTTCTCTTGCTGGCCCCACCCACGAGATCCCCCTCGGCACACAGACTTTACATTGTGATTATACAACAGAATTTTAAATCTTTTCTCTTCGCTTGAACAAAGTTTTACAAATATTAAACCAACATGGCTCAAAAAATTCAGACTATAAAGAGTCATAATTGACCTTGTTTGCAATTCACGGTGTCCTGTCAACAGTTTTAAGGACATCTCTTTTGTAATGGTGGTCTCTGGGGATAATGATTTTTTTTTAATACCAGTTTGTGACCTGGCTGCTATGTTGGATAAAGTCGACCAAAGAACCAAGCACCGCCCACCACGCAGACCAACTTTCTTATTTTACAGCTAAACAGTACACTAAAATATGTTTCTGAAAACATCTGAGGTGAGAAAAAGGAAATGCAGTAACAAAATCTTGATTCATATTTAATCAGCAATGCATGGTTTGACTGCAGTTCACAAGCAGTGATTGACATTAAGGTCATTAGGAATGCTACAAGGCAATAGTGCAGGCAGAGGAATATGAGGAATATTTCCACAGATTATCTATTTTGTGTTGTGAGAATATAGTGACAGCTTCAGCAAACACGATTTTGTTTTGTTTTGTTTCTAGCAAAAGTTACCAAATACATACTAAGTAGGCCTAAGTAGTATACCATTGAACTGCATTATTTTGTCAGTGCTTGGGGGCCCTTTGTAAGTTTTTTGGGGTAAAATGAGTTGGAGTAGTAACATAAGTCAGTATTTTTAAACCATTGTGTGTAAACACAGTTCGTGCATCTACAAATGCACATTACGACTCTGCCATGCAAAGTGAAAGCCATATATATATATATCTACAGCATCTGACTTCTCTGACCCTGAGCTCATCTGGGACGGACTTACACAAAGTGAATAAGTGTGCTGTGGTCTGACTAGTCCACATTTAAAATTATTTTTGGAATTCATGGACATCATGTAATCTGGGCTAAAGACGAAAAGATCATCCAGACTGTTACTAGCCCAAAGTTCAAAGTCAGCATCTGTGAGGGTATGGAGGTGTGTTAGAGCCCATGGCATCATGGGTAACTTGCACATCTGTGAAGGCACCATGAAAGCTGAAAGGTACATAGATGTTTTGTAGCAACATATACTGTCAGATTACATCTTTTTCAGGGATGTCCCTGCTTATTCCAACAAGACAATCAGGCGCATTCTGTATGTGTGAAAACAGCGTGGCTTCGTAGTGAAAGAGAGTGCAGGTACCAGACTGACCTGCCTGCAGTCAAGTCCTGTCTCCCACTGAAAATTTGTGGTGCATTATTGAGCGCAAAATACAACAACAGAGACCCTGGACTATTGAGCAACTGAAGTCATATATCAAGCAAGAATGGGAAGGAATTTTTTTTCAAAACTTCCAACAACTGTGTCCTCAGTTTCCAAACGGTTACCGACTGTTGTTAAAAGAAAAGATGATGTCACACAGTAGTAAACATGCTCCTGTCCCAACTTTTTTGGAACATGTTGCATGTATCACATTCTGAAAGAGTGTATATTTACAAAGAAAAAAAAACTATAAAATTTATCAGTTTGAACACTGAATATCTTGTCTTTTTACTGTATTCAACTGAATAAAGTTCCACAAGGATTCACAAATCATTGCACTTTGTTTTTATTTACGTCTGCTGTTCTTTTATTTGCTGTTAAGACACCGTCAGTAAAACTTTACTTCCAGCGGGTTGAGGGTTTATACCTCTTAAGGTGTTGGAAGACTTTTAATGTGATACATCTGTGCAGGAAGTATGGCCAGTTTGTTTCACCACTATTAACTGATTTGCTAGTTATTGTTATAGGAGACCAGATGACGTCTTAGATTTTGGATACTGCAACATGCAACAAGTATTTCTTCACAACTCAAAATTCTCATTGTGTAACTATTATGTGATAGCACAAACAGTCAACCCTTCAATATCATCACAATATAGATATTGAGGTATTTTAACAAAAACATCGTGACATTTGATTTTCTCCATATCACCCAGCCCTATATGTAACCATGTGCATATATCTGCTTGAGGGGGTCATTGTTGTAAAGTCTGAATTTCAGTCACCTTTTCTTTGCTGCTTTTTCAACTGTTTTCAAACTTCTGTCAACAAAACTCCACAGTTTCTTACTGACATTTTACATCAAAAGTCTACTAGACTAGGAAAGAGTGATGCCATTAGAGTTGTTGGAACCTGGAAGGTTTAATGTCCAATATCTGTGCAGCAAGCCTTGAATTGCATTCACAGTAGTTTAACAGCAGTAATACAACAGGTGGCCACATCATAGTTGAATTTGAAATTGTGATTCTGACTCACTCCTTTCTCGATTTTCACTTCCATGTGACAATGACTTTGCCGTATTTGCATTAGCAAACCAAGCGTTCTGGATACCCCCCAAGTTGCAGCATCAAATGACAAGGCTGCATTACACCACATAACGCATAAGCAGAAACAAAACAAATCTAATGTGTGACAGAGAGATGGAAGAGTGACATGACAAAAAAAAACACCCTAGAAAATTAAAATTCAACTTGAAGACCAGGAATACTACCAAAATCCCTGCTGTGGGACATCTCAATGTCTGATATTACCTGACAAATATACTGTGGATGTTTGAATTTTTTTTTTTTTTTTTGACAACAGTTTTTGCTACTCCTATATTACATGCTACATTTACTCATGTCTAGATTTTTGTCTGTTTTCACAAGCTGCACGAAGGCAAATTCTTATTAACCGTGTTGCCATGGCAATAAAGTATTGAATTAAACTGATATGGTCTCATAGTAGAAAGGAGATTGCTGTACAAGCAGCAACGTCCGGGGCTGAAAAAGTACCAAAAACTGCAGTTCCTCAAATGGCCACTTGAGGCTGGCTGCAAGATCGAGTCAATCTCCATAGACCCCCATGTTGAAATGCCCAACTATAAAGCAGAGATAAAACAGGACATGCCTGCCTGGCCAGGTGTCTCGCTCTGCTAACTTCTCACTACAGTAACATTAGCTGCACTGTTTCAGCAATGTTTGGCTGACAAAAACATGCACATGGGCTAAGATTCAACCATGTTGTTTTGTTGGGAGATGCAGTGACTTAAACCAATGGTGAGTGAGAATAAGTATGAATAATACATGTAATTAAGCTAGTGTAGACTTAAAAACTTAGTTAGCCACCAGGCTAATTAA